TATAGTTGATGGTTAATATTCTTCAAATAAAGCACTATGGTAAATCTACATAGAAAACATAAACATGTCTAAAAATATTTATATTAACAAGAAATTCACAAAAGAAAGGATGTGAATAATTATAAACAGTTAATAATGTCTAACTTCACAAGCAATAAAGGAAAAAAGAAAATTAATACAAGAAAGGGATACCATTTTCATTCTTTCAAAAAAGGTAAATATTTAAGAGATTGATAATATCAATATCCAAGATTGACAAGTGGATAAAGAAACAGATGGTCTCATCCCTATGGACAGCCATGTAAAGAATAAAAGCTCTTTTTGGAAATCTATTAATAGTTATCAATGTTTCAAACTCACATTCTTTTAACCTAGAAATGCCACCTTCAGGAATTTAGCCTAAGAGAGGGAAATGTATATACGAAGATACTAACTGCAACATTATTTCAAAAACCATTAACTGAAAACAATCTAAATGCCCAATCATAGGAATCTGTTAATTAAATTTGTAGTAATATGAAAAGATGTCTCCCTACACTTTTAAGTAAAGAAAGAGTGAGAGAGAGATTACAAAATCATGTGTGTTACAGAGGCTCATTTTGATAAATACATTAGCAAAGAGTCAGGAACATAAATTGAAAAAACATCAATGGAGGAGTTATCTCTTTATTTTGTATACTGCCTTAATATTTTACAAAAAGCTTGCATTACACTTACAATCTGATGATATAATGTGGCTATTTTCATTGGCTAGAAAGAAGGTGTGAACCCCTGACGTCTGCATGTGGGTCCCTGGGCAAAGCTAACCAATGGAGCCCAAAGTTGGAATAGTGAACCCCAAACAGCAATGCCTCCATTTCCAAAAATGCTCTGACTCCACATACTTAATTCTTCATTTTTTAAAGTGATGTGAAACCTATATTTTCCTTTTGGAATATGTTGCCAAAAGACCAAAGGGTCTCTAAAGGTTACACACACATCACACATACAACTTCCCACATTCAGACACACACACATATACCAGAGATCCTCTCTTCTCAGGCCCTAAAGGCAGGTCAGACTCACACAACCGCATCTCAACAAATGCCCACGCTAAGCTCCAGTCCGAAGTCCAACAAAAATTCCCCATGAAGACTTCACAGGATTTTGGACTGGGTGAGGGTCTTGTCATTAGCTAGCCATTTCTAAATGCAGAGATCAAATCCACCGAAACACTCCTTAATCCTCCTTCTTGTTACCTCTTCTGCCAAGACCTCAGCCCGGAGAGCCGGAAAGTGGCAGCTCTGGGATGAGCTCTGGCTAAGTGGTGGGAACTGGCTAAGTAGTCAGGACACCCCATCACAGCTCCTCCCTATAAGACCCTTCGGGCATGTTGCTTCCATTCTCCCCCTCAGATTCTCCATCTGTGGAATGGGGTAATTAACCCTTGTCCAGAAGCCTTATTGAGAGGATGGAATGAAACAAGACAAAGCCCAGATGCACTTGTGATGCTCCTGTGGACATCTCCTCCACCTCTGGGAAAGAGTCAGTCCCAGGCCTGGTAGACAGCACATGTGATGGCTCGATGAGCCCACCTCTGCCAGCTATGACAAGGCATGCCTCCCTCCTCCCTGGAACCCTCTCCCCAGCCCAAGCTGGAGCCAGCCTGGTAAATGATATCCTTATCCAACTCCCTTGAGTGCTTTGCAAGGACCCTAAACTCTGGCTGGGGACCAGGGGGATGACCAGAAGGCCCATGTACAGGCTATGCTCAGGTTTCTGCCTACAGAGACTGGAGAGAAAGCAGTATGTACACAGCTCAGATGGATGTACTCAAAATGCCAGGGCTGCTGTCACCTCCTCTCTCTGATGTGGATACTTTGAGCCAAGCTCAACCTTCCAGCATGGCCCTGACCCACCAGGAACTCCAAAACCACCAAGAGGGTGACATCAGCCTCCCCAGTGGGGAGGGAGGAGGTTGAGAGGGGACTGTCTTCACCCAAGCTTCAGATCAGTGATTCTCAGCCTTGGCTGTGCGTTGGAATCACATGGGGAGTTTTAAAAGCAATGATGCCCAAGCCCTACCCTCAGATGTTCTGATTTAACCAGCCTGGGGTTCAGTCCGAGCACAGAGATTTTAAAAATCCTTCTAAGTGCACCAGGGTTAAGGCCCACTGAAGTGGATTCAGTTCTTTTCCCAATTTACATCTATTGCCAGAACCTCTTCCCCAGAGTCAGGGGAAGATGGTGTTCCTTCTGTCACACTAAGGGCCCTATAGAGACGGAACCCTTAGGCTGGTCTAAGCTCCAAGAGGCTGTGTTTTGTTTATCACTATGTCCCCAGTGGACTGGCCGAAGTCCTGGCACAGACTAGGGGCTCAACGAACACTGGTGGGATGAGGTGTATGTGATCGAATGAGTGAACTAACTAATGAACCCCATCCCTCCCACCTCCAGAGTGCCCTAAATCCTCCAAAGTGTGGTCTGCAGACCAGCAGTGTCACTTCATCTGAGAGCTTGTTAAAAATGCACATTCTCCATCTTGGACTCAGCCCCAGAATGAGAACCTGCATTTTAACACAGTCCCAGGCAATTCACAAGCAATGACTGCATCACTGATTCTGCTATATGTTAGCGGGTCTCCAACTTTGCGGCACATTAAAATCACCCATGAAAGTGTAACCTGCCCGTGGTCTTCTGTGTCCCCAGGTAATTGTTAAATGTCCCCAGATGACTCCAATGTGCAGTCCAGGTTCCCAGTTCCTGCACCATAAGTCTCTCTGTCACAGCGGCCTCCAAGCAGGCCCAGTCTCGGCTCTGGCCCACTTGAGAGATCCTGCCCCCATTTACGATAAAAGCCAAGCCCCCTGCAACCCAGGGACCAGCCACTCAGCTTTACATAGCCAGTGGGGACAGACTACCCATTTCAAACCCCACCTCTGCCACTTTACAGCTGAGTGACTTTGAACAAGTCACTCAACCATTCCATGCCTCAGTTTCCCCCTTTGGTATAAATGGAGCTGATGGGGGTGGGGGGTGGACACTACTCCACAGTTATGTAAGGATTAAATGACTTAGTTGATCAGAAGCACTTAGAATAGTGCCCCTTCCCAGAAGTTTTCTTGGCCTCTGTATCAGGCTTCCTAATAGAATAGTTTAGAAGAGAGCCTGGATTGAGAACCCCACTTCTGAAAACTCTGCTTCGATAAAGAGGGCAAAAGAGAATTAGAGGTAGGGACCTCTTTCGGGAAAATCCAGACTAAATGAAGAGGTGTAGCCGTCTCCCTTCTTTGCTTTCATTATCCGTGAAGAAAAAGCCTCACCAGGTCCTTAGGGAGTTCCCGTGCCCAGAGCGTGGGAACTGAGAGGGAAGAGTAAGGTTAACACCGGCAGTCCTTCCCTCGGAGTGGTCCCCACCTAAAAAAAGGCAGGCCTGCTCCATGGTGCCCAGGATCCGGGCAGCTCCGACTCCTCCACAGCCGGGTGTCTCTCTCTAGATTTCCCTGGGCCTACCCAGGGCCACCTGATTCCCAGGCCCTTCCCTTGCTCCAGACCGGGGGCGGGGGAGGCGGG